ACGGTTCAGGCCCCGACTCTGACTTTCAGTGTCGTCGTGTCCTTGGGCAAGACACTTCACCTGCATTGTCTACTGATGGTGGTCAGAGGGTGGCGCCAGTGTACGGCAGCCCCGCTTCTGTCAGTGAGCCCCAGGGCAGCTGTGGCTACAATGTAGCTCACCACCATCAGTGTGTGCGTGAATGGGTGAATGAATGTAGTGTAAAGCGCTTTGGTCAATTCTCCTGACTTGGAAAAAGTAAGTACAGGACATTTACCATTTATTTTAGAACATGTTTTGTTTTTCAAAAGGAAACTTTTACATGCATTTTTGGCTCCAGGAGGGCTCCATAATATAGTGAGGTTTTGAATAAAATATAGTCATCTAGAATGTGTAATTAAGGTTCACTATAGAGCTGCCTCTGTCCTGAATGTAGGGCTCTCCCTGCTGTTCATCTGCCTGCCACCCAGCCACATCTTCTCACCTCACCTTTCTGTTAAATTTGCTCCTCCAGCTGATACACAACAAAGACACGAGGTACACGATCAAAATGGCTCCATTAGATCCATTAAATGCTGATAATGGGCCTTTCGTCTGGAATTCCATGCCTCCCACAGTGGTCGAGGCGTTTAAGCGCCATGCAAATCCGTCAATTTAAAGAAAATTCTAAGTATAGCGCGGACTCCTATGTTTAGTTCCAATTAGACCGGCAAACAAACACACAAACAGCGCAAAGATGAAATGCTGCAAGGAAACAGAGATAGGTCAAGTTCAAACTCACTGCAAACACATAAATGATGCTAACCCACAAACACACAGAACGGCTGCCAAGGTAAAATGCTACCAGTTGAAACTACACCTTGTAAAACAAAAAGAAGAGTAAAAAACAAGGTTGTCTGATTAAAAGTTGGGTTAAGAAACCATAAAGTGCAACGCTGCATTCAGGCTACCTAAAGCTAACGGGACTTTTAAAGTGCAGAAGAGGAAATGCTGATGGAAAGGGATACTCATTAAAAAGCTGCTTCTGTAAAAAGCGTCTCTAGCATTACGGATGCTTGATGGTCACTATGATCACAGCTACATGATAACTGTCAGCGCAGCACCACCATCTTCATGGCCCCCAGCCAATGGGAATATGGGAGATGGCTGGAAACAGAACATGAAAGCTGATAAAGCATGACTGAAATGAAGCGACAGCCTCTCTTCATGAAGCATCCCTTGGTTCAGCCCGACCCTAACACAATTACACAATCAGCTGCTGAGTGGAGCATCACCAGCCCAGGAGGAAGAGCTGAACTCAGAGCTTTACTTTCACTCACAGTCCGACTCTGTTGGACGTTATTTCATCGTTCATTCCTGGCCTTCATTAGAGTTCTTGAAAAAAACTATATTGTTCAAATATTTACAAGAAGGTACTGATGGAGTTTTCATGACATTATTGATGGTGTTTGTGGGGACAGCCACGGTGACGTCACCAATGTGTCTGACTCGTGATGAGGTTTAGGTTCTTCTGCCTTTGGCCTCCACTGTTTCTACAGGATCACCGTCCTTCATGATGTGGAGGTGATTCCTCCAGGATAAATGAACAATGGTCAGATGGAGCGACGGCGCCGGCAGCAGCGCTGAGAGGACGAGGAACAACTCGGAGAGAGAGAGTGAGACACTACTGCCAGCAACTTTGCTGCTAGAGTTAGAGAGTTCTCAAGACTCCTGCTGTGACTTTTTGAGTTTTTTTTGAGGAAAGCTAATAGAGACTTCTATGATAACACATGAAAGCATTGATCGGTCGGTCGATAAGCCAGTCAAGAGGGGAGCTGTTCAGCTGCGTGTCCAAATGTTCACGGCTGCAGCGGATCCTGCAGAATGTCATTTTTATTTATTTTTTTTTATGGAACCGTTGCTGCATTGAAATACATTTCTGCTTGAAAAGAGAGAGAGCAGTGTTTCCGCTGCGTTAAATGCTGTGCTGTGTGTGCAGTTAAAGATGATCAGGAAACGCCACCAGCTTCCCTCCCTGCTCTAAAGTAAGCAATGAGAAAAGGTTTTGTTTGAAAGTGTTTTTAACTAAATGAATGGAATAGTTTATGTTTCATTTATTTTAAAATTTAGTGCATTTTTATTTAGATTGTTGTTCTACGATTTATCGAATTAAAAACTTAATTAAATAAAGATTATTAGTTCTCTCACTTTTTATCTAAAAAAGTATCAGAAAAATAAACAATATTGAAATACTTGTTTGAAGCAGTAAGGTTGCTGTTTTGACAACAGTTCCAATGGACGCCATAACAGGCAAACGTTCTGCTTCTGAATGCAGACAAAACAGAAGTTATAGTCTTTGGACCAGAGTCATTGAAAAAGAAGCTGATTAGCCAGTCACTTCATTTGGATGGGATTAAACTGATTTTAGACAATAAAGTAAAAAATCTTGGTGTTGTTTTTGATCAGGACCTGTCATTTAAATCCCA